ACAGCCGCATCACTAGTGTTGGGTGTGATCGCCTTCGATCAAGATCCGCCGTCAACGGAAAAGGACAGACGAACTGATTGGGTTGGAGCATTCCTTTCAACAGCCGGATTCACGCTTGTTGTATTCGTACTGGGACAAGGTGAAGTCGCGGAACCATCGCAGTGGGGTACCTCTTGTGAGTTAATTCATACTGTATTGGCATCATTAGCTGTGCTAAAATACACCCAGATATCATTGCCCTGCTCGTCGTCGGCGTTGCTCTCGTTGTGGCCTTTGTGTTTTGGCAGTGGTTCCTGGAACAGATCCAAGACGCCAAGCGCCCTTCTCCTCAAAGTGCATGGATTCCCACCCCTCCTCCGTTGATGAGGGTCAGTTTATGGTCGAGAGCAAATGGGAAAATAGCCGTCGTGATGTTAATCCAATTCTTCCTTTCCTGTGGCTTCTTAGGTTGGCAGTACTGGTCGGTGGTATGTTCCATCTTCGGTTACAACCCATTGGATCTCAACTGAGCCTTCTTTACTTCCAGCTATTTTACCAAAACTATCAGCATTATGATGCCGTTGGAACAGTCACCCGACTCATTCCCGGCTTCGTCACCGGTGTCCTTTGCAATGTAGTCGTTGCCTTGGTCATCTCCCGGCTCCCCCTCGTTGTCCTCATGGTTGTTGGAACTGTCGGCTCCTCCATAGCATGTCTATTGTTCGCCGTTATAGATGTCGATGCTACTTATTGGGCCTTTGGATTCCCGGCTGCCGCGGTTGCCGTCCTCGGAGCGGATTTCGTCATGGCAAGTGGTACGCTGTTTATCGCCAAGGTCACCCCACCGCACGAACAAAGCGTCGCCGGTGCGGTGTTCCAGTGCATGCAGCAGCTCGGCACCAGTATCGGTATAACGATCGGCACTGTGGTTTTCAATAGGCTCCTTATATCAAACACCGGAAGTAACAATCCAGAGGAGGCGCCGGCACCTGAAGTTTTGAAGAGTTATCGTGCAGCTCAATGGACCAATTTCGCTTTTTGCATCTCTGGTGAGTGACGCTCTTCCCTCAAAAGTACCGGCTCCGGCTAACGGTGTATTCTTAGCCGCCCTGCTCGCTATCTTGTTCCTCCGGAACGTTGGTATTGTCGGTCATCGCGCAGTCAAATCTGTGGCATCGTCCATCCGCCGCATGTCCGCTCAGTTCGACGTCGAATCCCTCCACATACGGAGCTCCAGCGCCCATCCACCGGCCGGTGCGGCTGGTGCGATGATACCTCTCGACGAGTTCGACCCACAGGGCTTGAGTGCCTACCCCGACGGTGAAGTGCTGGAACTGGCACCAATCAAGGGGAAAGCTGAAGCCCTGCTCACTGCGCTTGAGGAAGAGCAGCAAAACTCTCAAAGACTCAGAGAAGAGAACGCTGAACTTCGCTCGCGCTTATCACAATTCGAGCAAGAACTGAATAGCTTGGATGGCCAACTAGGTGACGAGCTTCGGATACTGCTGAGGAAACGGAAACGAGATACCCGGGAAATATTGAAAGACGAGAACGGAGAACTCAAAGAAAGATTATCGAGGGTCGAAGGAGAGCTGAAGAAGATGGACGACTCGCTGGGTGTGGGCTTAGAGAGGTTGCTGAGTTCGTCCAGGAAGACCAGTATGACGTCGAATTCGGAGCTCAGACACACGTACAGCAAAAGGGCCGTTCCTCAACCCATGAATGTGGAACAGCAACTCGAATCCCATAGTCAGTCGATCGTGGAGGAACAAAGGCATCTCCCTCCTGAGACGGTCGTCGTTCCTCAGGTTACAGCACCAGTTTCTCCTCCTCCGAGGTTAAGGCCACACCTCGCGTCAACTCCTCCGGGCTTCAATTAGATTCAGTATGATACCCAACTCTGCATGTCCCTGGTTTGTAAAGCCTCCACTGGCTTCTACTGCATATCTTTCTTGTTACACGGTGCTAGTAACCGCTTCAATACTACGCTCACGCACGCACTCACGAACCCTTCTCATAAGTACGCTTTAATGATAGACCCTTTGTAATGTAGCATAATCTGAACACGACAGCCAGCAATTATTTATGGATGGAAACGCCAACATGCGTGTAGCTAGTGTGGGAATCTCGATGCGCGACATCTCTGACTCTACCCTCCACCATGAACGAGGAGCAAAATCGGTTTTGTACACGAGTGGTATGCCACGCCAATCACTTACTGGAGAGCTAGTATAACCACTCCGCATTGATCAGTTCCAGCGATGATTGAATGCCCTCTCAACTTCAACTCTTTGCCAGCATTTCTCCTCGTTTTGAGCGGCCGTCCTTTATCCACGTTTTCGATATCTTCGTCATGCTACAGGGCGATTCATATAACCCGCCCAGATTGTCCTAATACTGGTTTTGGGATATAGTTGATGCGCCCCTTGGATGAAAACAAATGGTATATTTCGACGGGAACTACACGGCCGGAATATTCATACAACACTGCCAAGTATGTATTTCCTCCACCGAGGCCGCGCCCAAACCGCTTCAAGCCTCTGTTCTCAGCGGTCATCAATCCTCATCGACTTATGCTATATAACACGGACGATATGTACGAGCAATCACAACCTCACTCCGACCTCACCTCTCTCCAACTCAACTCACTGAACGCCCAAAATGGTTCTCAAACTCTACGGAATGATAATCTCGACCAACACCACTCGCGTTATGACCGTCCTCCATGAGAAAGAGATTCCTTACGAATTCATCATTGTCGACCTATTCAAAGGCGAACACAAAGCTCCAGAATACCTCGAACGTAACCCGTTCGGTCAAGTTCCTTACATCGTAAGTCCCCATGGCGTCGGGCTTTGGCCTGAAAATTGATGTACCACTACTCGATTCTATAGGACGACGATGGGTTCATTCTCTATGAGTCTCGTGCAATTTGCACATACCTTGCAACGAAATACGCTGATCAAGGAACGAGACTCATTCCACCTGCTTCCGACCTCCAGGCTACCGCAAAGTACGAGCAAGCAGCCTCGATCGAAGGGTACCATTTCGACCCATACGTCTCAAAAGCCGTCGCTGAGGCTGTATTCATGCCGTGAGTACTCTTTTCTCATTCATGAGTCCGAGAAAACACATTTTTACTTGGATGGTTAGATTCTATGGTAAAACGCCCGACCAGGAATACGTCAATAATCTACTCTCGACCTTGGAAGAGAATCTAAAAGCGTACGAAGTGATTCTTGGCAAACAAAAGTATCTTGCTGGCGACGTAAGTGGCACAGCTTCAGAGGTCTCTTCAACCTCTACGACCCCTGGCTGACGACCACTTTTCTCGCTAGCAAATTACACTCGCTGACCTTGCTCACCTATCCTTTGGAAACTTCCTGCCTCGAGCAGGCTCGGATCTTTGGGACAGGCAGGGCCCCAACGTCACCCGGTGAGTGATCATTGATTGTGGTTCTGTGCGCAAGCCACGATTGAATCGCGTCTAGATGGTGGAAGGAATTGAACTCGCGTCCGTCGTGGCAGAAATGCGTGGAACAAGGTGCTCTAAAGGTATAGGAGGGTTTATGTCCGATAAACATTCTTTCAAGGCAGCTATCATACAATCACTTAGAGTTACAACTGAAATGCAATATTCACCGACATCAGTGTCTGTCCAACTTTGAGATCAATGACGACGTACTCTCACCTGATTGACTCTCTCCTTTCGTACTTCAAGCAACGTACTTGACTCCATCGCACTTTACCATCATCTGTCTCACCTCTCTCGCCATCTCCTTGACATCCTCTTCATCGAGGTCGGCTTTCAGATAGACCAACGCCTTGTCCACGATGTTCACGATCCTCTTCGCCTCGTCCGGATACACGATCTGAGCGTTATCGGACCACAAAAGTAGATCGTATAGGCCCCGTAACCCAGCCAAATACAACGGAAGAGGACAACATTGAGCTTTCTGAACCTCGGTCGACCGATAGTTCAAGTCCATTATATCTTCGGGAGCTCGCATACCGCCTCCTAGCCTGCCGGGGAAGCCATCCAGTCCCCCCAAGGACGCGGCAGAACCGGAAAATAGAGACTTCAAAAGAGCATCGGGGCCGACGTCGCCCTTTGGGTTCCGAACCCAGCCTTGACAGATCGTCAAAGCTTCCTTGACAATCGCTTTTGCAGACTTGAGGGACTTTTCTTCACTCAACCTAGTCTTCTTCCCTATGTCTTTGTACTTCTTGTAAGCCACGCCAGCTTTGGAGAACGTCTCGAGCGTGGGGTTCTCTTCCGAGAGGAGGCCCTCGAGGTGTGCGATGATGGCGCGGAGGATTTGGCCTTTGAAGTAGTGGAAAAAAGAGTATCTGTAGGTCCAGGCGATTTCTTCCTCCTCCTCCTCTTCTTCTTTCATATCTTGGTCACCGTCTTCCTCACCTTCGTTCTTGACTTGCGACTCGGCCCCTGCGAGAGTTTCTTCCTGGGCCTCGTCCTGGTCCTCTTCCTCGTCTTCCATTTCGTCCTCCCAATCTCGGACGGTAGGGTCTTTGAGCCAATAACAGCCTCCCATTTGAATTGATTCGAGTGTTTAGTAGAAAAGTAGAACGTTGTTGAGTTGAGTGGTTGACCTGGGCAATGGGTAATGATGGTGGTTCTGGTCTAACAAGCACAAACGAGTCTCAGCTTTGACTCTCAACTGACCAGCGACTCAGAATAGGGGCTTATCCATACTGGCTTCGACAAGACCCTTTCCGCGTTGCGGGACGTCACACGGTTGGCACATGGCAATCGGCTCACCGTGAATTTGAGAATGCAGATACGGTTGGGGGTTGGGGGAAGTGATAGTGATGAACGGCAAGAAAGATAAGTTCGTGGCTGGCATAAAAAGGAAGTCACACGAGGCTGACATCCTCCCGTCCTCCCGGAAGCGTAGGCCTTTAAGCTGAGCTGTATTATACGCCCCACGATGCGATCACTACAACATAAGTATTTACTTGAGTTAGGTACAGGAAAAAATATCCGCCTGAGAAATACTCATAGCCCACCGCGAGGGTCGAACTCGCAGCCTTCAGATTGCCCTTTCTTAAAAGTCTGACGCTCTATCCGATTGAGCTAGGCGGGCATATACTCTTGGGCGATTACGATCATATATAATGTGAAAGCGGCTGGATTTGGAAGAGAGCACTTTGCCTAGCTATTCTTTTCCTGTATTTCTAGCTGTAAGCATACTGCACATTGTGTTAGAAAGGTATTTGTGGGGCGATAAAAGACAGCATAGCTCAAGGTCGTCCAAGTACTGTTCGGCATTTCGTGCCTGCCGGTGTGATTAACGGCAAGAAGTCAGCTGTTGGAGCGTGTTGACTCTCCTTCGATCCAACCACCATCCAACACTGCCTCCCTCAATTTTCGTGTGGAGCGATTCGTTCATACTCAGCGCTCGACCCTGTCTGAAGTTCGCCAGAGCTTACTCCAGCTGCCAGCAAGTATCAACGACAGCAAGTCCTCAAATAGTCCAGAAATCAAGTTCAAGCAGGACTGAACCGGTACAAATTCAAATTTCGAGACCCGAAATCTCTCGTTGAATGTACGGGTGTACACTGCCTTCTCAGATCTCAACAGCAATGTCGATGAAGAAATGTACTTAATGTGATGATGCCGTCGGCCCCAGTCAGGACTCAGGAGTAAGTACTGTCAAAACATATCTCCAACAAGCAAATTTACTCCTCCAATGATTCAGATGTCCGGTGTAGTTTTACCGGGACTATGATATAAGAGCTCGAGCTCTGAGTGCTCGCATCAAACTCCAACCATCAAATACAACGACATGTTTATCCCGTTCATCTCTACGTTCTCAACCAAACGACGACGATCCGGTCTCGACAGAAGAGCTGGAGGAGGAGGAGGAGGCGGCGGAGGCGGTGGACGAGGTGGATCAACTGGGGGATCGGGCAGCGGTCGAAGTGGAGGTGGAGGTTCTAGCAGCGGTGGACGCTCTGGTGGAAGTACCGGTTCTCGCTCACCCTCCATTTCCACTGGAAATGGTGGAAGCGGCTCGTCCAAGCCTATCTCTTCCATTTCTACTGGAGGAGGCCCTGTCAGTCAAATCTCATCAGGAGCCTTTGCGGGTCGTTCTATCGGTGGTGGAAGCAGAAGCCAGGTCTACGGAACTAGGTCAGCATAGAAATCTCTATCTACGTGAAAAAACTTGTCGGCTGAGTTTCTCTCCCCCACAGACAATACGGAAGCGGTTACCCTGGGGTAACAGGAGCTGGCGTCGCAGGCAGGGGTTTTCCTTTTTACTTCTGGCCCGTAACTTGGGGAGCGGCAGCTGGCGCTGGCACAGCTGCCTACTACCACAACCGCGATGACGAGGTGAGCTGTCTACGTGCCTGTCCTATCCCAATTCCTTTTATTGACTCCATCTTCCAGTACGGCCGACCAGACAACACGAGCAGGCCCGGTGGCACCATGACCTACGCAACCTTCGACGTCGGTAATTCCACCATGTACCATCTCCTCGCAGACAACGCCACAGTATCATCCCTGATCATCAGCATCAACTCGAAATGTTCCGGTTACACCATCACTGCAAATACCACCCTCTCCGCCACCACTTCCGATATGCTCAAACCGTACGACGCCTCCGCACCCAACGCGACGAAACCCGAGAACGTGATTCAGTACTACCGTGCCAGTAGTGTCGCGCTCGCGCTCGATGGGTATAACAACTCGGCGGTGTTTTCGAACGATACGAATGCGCCTGATACTCCACTCCCGACGGGGTTGAACACGAGCGCGTTGGACTGTTTGAATCAGACGATAGGAGCGTCTGCGCCTCTGGTTCGAAACGCTGCTGTTGGTCGTAACAGCACTGGAGTGTTGTATGACCCCTTGGTGTCGCTTATGCTGTTGATGGTGGTGTTGGCTCAGTTCGTGGTTTCTTGATGCAGTTCTGTGCAGATCCAACCAATTCCTGCGTGCGTAGATCCCTAAAGATGTATCATAATCTGTATCGTTTAGCTCTTCGCTCTTCATATTCACACACTGTACCAATCCACTTGTGGATATATCATTGAATGCACATTAGAGAGATACTGGTGGAATACAGGCGGCATATCATATGAACGGGGGGGAAAGTAGGTAATGTACAACTCTGCAATGGTCTAATCGTCAAGACAGCTCATGAAAGATGTACTTACTATAATCTGTATCGTCTAGCCCATTACCCCTCAAATTCATACGGTGTATCAATCAAGGTGTGGTCATGACCATCGAATACGAATGCAAATTAGAGGTATTGGTAGAATACAGGCGGTGTACCGTATGAACGAGACAAAAAGTAGGTAATGCACTCATTTCATGAACAGTTGTGAAACAATCGCCATATGTTTCATAAAAATTAAATAACAACTATAACTTATAACATAAATAAGTTCTAGATACTTGAAAAATACATACAGGCCCGCTGTAATGTGCTAAGCCGTCCGCAATAAAATATTGTCCCATTGGACGGTAGATGACTGTACAACTAATAGCTACAATAGTTCCAAACTTCAAGACGGCTCATGACGATGCGAGATGCATAAATACCGCCACCAACGCAATCACTCCCGGAAGACCAGGAGAAACCACCCAAGTACCAGTGTTGAAAGTCCCTCTAGTGATAGTTCCCCCGTTAAGAGATGCTCCTCCTGGGAAAGGATTAGCAAGGGGAACAAACTCCCCAATCGTCCGGTTCAAACAATCGAGCGCATTGGTGTTCAAAGTCGTCGGAAGAGGTGTATCCGGCGCATTCGTATCGTTCGAATAAACAGCCGAGTTATTATATCCATCGAGCGCGAGCGCGACACTGCTAGCACGGTAGTACTGGATAACGCTCTCGGGTTTCGTTGCGTTGGGGGCGGCATCATTGTAAGGTGATATCACGCCGGGTTGTGTAGTAGCTATGAGGGTGTTGTTCCCGTTTGTAATGAAGGCGCATTTTTCGTTGATGGTGGTGACGAGTGAGGTGACTGTGGTGTTGTCTGCGACGACGTGGTAGGTCGTAGAGTTGTTGACGATGAACGTCGCGTCGGCCATAGCACGACCAGGTCGAGTGGAGTTGTCTGGTCGGCCGTACTGTAGTGAAGAAGATTGATGAGAGACAAGACTACAATACTTGGACTGAACGACTGACCTCATCGCGATGGTTATGATAATACGCAGCCGTTCCAGCGCCTGCTGCACCACCCCATGTAACGGGCCAGAAGTAGAACGGGAAACCGCGACCTGCAACACCTGCTCCGGTCACACCAGGATAGCCACTTCCGTATTGCCTGTGTGAGAAGGGACGGATACATCAGTGGAACGGCTTGAATATAGGATTAGCAAAAATCAAGTACCTGGTTCCATAAACTTCACCCCTATTGCCTCCTCCAATGGAACGTCCGGCAAAGGCTCCTGAAGAGATAGTAGCGACGGAACCTCCTCCAGAGGATTTTGAAGATATGAATCTCAGTCCAGAAGCGGTGGAGATAGCAAGACTGCTGCCGGAGCTACCTCCGAGTCTAGGGCGACTTCCTTTGATAACTTTTCTTCTGAATCGTTGTCGTTTCGTCGGAGAGTTTGAAGTTGATGACGAGGTTATAAAAGGGACATACATGGTCGTGTCGTCAAGACTCGAGGTCGTAGAGAATAAAAAGGTGGAGAATCCAATAATGAAATGACCGCCTTTTTTTATTCGATTTGGGTGTTGAACACATCAATACACATCAATGATCGAATCCCGGTGGCGGCGATGCCAAGTCAGGGACGAGGCTGAGGGCTCTCGGCTCCGGGCTCTTGCACCCAGCGGACCTCCCAAGGTCCCTCTGCCCAGAAGCACTGCATCGCGACGTAGATACTAGGAATCAAGACTGTTGAGGCAATACATTGTCAGCGCGCTGGAGATCACGGAAAGTGCGACGAGGCATAAGGATACACCTGGTGAAAGAGCGAAAGCGGTTACTCACCATCGCTAAGTGTTTCGAAGGGGGAGTCAGTAACCGAAACAACTTTCAGAATGGCTTACACAACATACGCGTTGAACGGGAAGGACTGAGAGGAAGACGTTGTGGTCAGTATTGCGGTCATAAGACACATTTGTATCCGCACAGGACTCACATTCGTATCCGAGAATGCTATGATGCGGTTGTTATAGACATAGAGGTTGCTTGAACCATTCGTTAAGAGACTCAATGCAATGGGCTTCCAGATCTTCATATCCCGGATAACTCCTCCGTCGATCTTCGAGAAGCGCTAGCCATGAGGTCGGTTCACTTGGTTCTGAGCGTCCCACCACTGTCGTTCATGAACGAGATTTAGAGAGATATTGAAACTCTGAGAGTCCAGGCTGACGTACCGCTTGCCCATTATGCATCCACTCAGCCCCATTTCGGGTCTTCAGAGCCGCGAAGAGTAACGTTCTTTCCACCAGTCCATGTAAACCATGTCCCTGAGATGGACTCGATGGATGTTCAATGATCAGTATGTCATGACGGATAACCCAACAAACTCACCGAATCCGCAACAATAGCCTGAACTGTAGGTATATCATCCGGCAACGTCAAATTCCCCTCAATCCGTATTTCGATGTTGTTGAAAATTGGGCACAGGGTTGGTGTCAGATTGTTGTAAGTACGTCGCGCCTTGCTCGAATAGAATGGTCGTCTGAGCCGAAATTCGCGAGAACGTCTCCCTCCCCCCATCAAACCAGACGCCGTCATCCTCGCCCGCAACGTCGGAGTGGGGGACGACGAATGTTCTGCAGTAGAGAAATTAAACCCAATCCTGTTGCACAACACATTGTCGGCCCGCCCGAGTCTCAATATCTCCCGAAGCTCTGCTGGAGATCACGGAACGTGCGACGAGGCATAAGGATACACCTGTTGAAGGAGGGAAAGCTGTACTTTAGAACGGATACCGATATCAGCGTCATTCAGTGACATCGTGCAACGGTTCAAACCTTCAACGTGATATTTGGCAATCCGGCGTGGACTTGTAGTTGTGCCGTATTATGTATCTATCTGTATCTGCTTTGCGACGAGCAGAGCCGAGGGTCCAAGAGGTTACCAAGAGGAAGAGGCGTCAGCACTGATAGAGAGG